CTGGTGATGTAAAAAATGATCTGACACAGGAACAAACAGTCCTCAACTTTTAACCATTACATTGCTGACAGTTTTGCACATTGAATAAGGATATTAGGGCTCCCTTTTCTATGCTAATTCAGACTTCCCTACATGCACTGATAAATAATTTTTTGATAACAATTCTCTCATAATATATAACTACATAGAGTAAGAAGAGGTAAATAGTTAAAGGGGGATATTGAGAAGAGGGAAAGTTTTATTTTTCCTCCCAAAGTATAAACACAACAACTGCCTGTGAGCATGTTCAAATGATGATGGAAGGAATCAACAGCGAAGGAGAGGGCAGTGTGGCAGACTCGAAGAAATCCTCCCAAAGCTGTTCTCTCTGCCATAGTGAGAGAGTTTTAGGTAGGCGCATGGCCATCCAACCAGAAATTACATTTCTCAAAGCCTGTTGTCTCTAAGGTTCCGAATAGTGTTAGGTTCCTTAGGTAATGCATTCTCTTCATACTTGGAAGGTAGAATGAGTTACTCAGCCTAACTGTGGTCTTCTAGCAGCATTCAGGGTTTAATGTTAAGAAACTGATGTCAGTGGCAGTCTCTTGAGTTGGCTCTTTAAATCCTGGTATTAGCAGTCAGCTCTGCTACCACCTAACCATACCGTCTAGAATAGCCTGGCAGCCACTCTCTTCATCAAGCACCAGGTAAGAGAGCAAGAAAGCATCTCTGCTGTGGCTCTCTTCAGATATCCAGGGAAGACAGTGGGAAATGCTACAAAAATGGCATTTTCTGGTTATAGTGGGAAGATGGAATTCCAGAAGGGTAGAGGCTAGGCAGGCAAGCCTAACTGACCAAGACAACTTTAGATGCAGTTGGTACAATGAATCACAGAGAAGGAATAGTAATATGGGTGTTTTGGCAGTCCAGAGAGGTTCTGCTTTACATAGTAGAAGGCTGGGCAGAAACTAACTAGATACTATTGTTAGGATTAATGGTTTCTTACCAAGTTCCCAGAACTAAGCCAGTGTGTAGACCTAAAGCCCCTCAATGGAGGTGAAGGCTGGGTGCCTCTGAAATGGAACCCTGCAGTACAGACAGAGAGGTATGCAATGAACAGTCTTCAAAGCTTCCACAAAGTGACCTGGAGCTATTTACACAGGGGAGTGTGAGCCAGGGAAAGGGAACTACCTAGAATGTTGGGAGCTCTAATTTTACACTGCGACTCAGAGACCCCAAAGACTGTAACAGTCCAACAAAGTAGGAGTTTATGGATGTCAGGAGTTAGATGAAGTCTTGGCCCAAATTCGTCTAACAGTGGGTCTAGTGGGACTTCAGACCCATCCTGTGTTTATTATTCCAGTTCCAGAATATATGGTGGGAATACATATAGATATACTTGGTAACTGTTAGAGTAACCCTTCTGGTTCCCTGTCCTGTGGAGTGAGAGAAATTATGAAAGGAAGAACCATCTAGAGTTCTGGAACTTTTCCCACACAAAACACCAATGGTAAGTGGTAAGCAAGACTCCTGGAGAGATTGTGGAAATGATCACTGCCATGACAACCTGGAGAGAAGCAGGGGTAGTGATCCCACATAAACTGTTTCTGTTTGACCAGAGCAAAAGCCTGAAGGACCTTCAAAAATGACAGATTATTGCAAACCTAAAAAGATTGTGATGATAGTTGCAGCTATAGTTTTAGATAGAGTATATTTACAAGTCATCACCCCACCACCTGATATGCAACTATTGACGTGGGAAATGCATTCTTTTCCATCCCAATCTGTACGAAAAATCAGAAGCAGTTTGAATTTATATAGTGGAGACAAAGGTACATCTTTACTATATTCTATAAAACATCAATTGGTCCTTTACATTGATTATTGCATTGTTAATTGGACCCATTGAGCAGAAAGTAGAAAATACATATACCAGAAGGTGGGATTCAAAGTCTGTGATAGTTCAGGGTCCTGACACTTTAGTGACGGTTCAAGGCTTCGTTCATTGGGGTACAGTAGGAAACCCCTTTTGCAGAGAAACAAATGGTAGTACCTTGCACCAACCACCACAAAGGAAGAGGCACAGTGTATGATGAGACCTTTTGGGTTGTAGGGATGGAACATATGACATTTGGGCATACTGTACCATCCCAAGCTGCCAGTTTTAAGTGGGTCCTGGAAGAAGAATGAGCTCGGCAGCAGGTCCAGGCTGGGATGCAGGCTGACAGGCCACTTGGGCCTTATGATGTAGCAGATCTGAATCTTGCCTGAGGCTTATCAAGCATGCACAAGGTGAAGGGAAATGGCTACATCTTTTGTTATTATCAAACAACTATTCTGAATTAACATTAATTGCCAAGTAATTCTTAGTGATTATTGGTCATATGATTCAGATTGGGTTTTAGCTGGACATATGATTCAACCAAATTACACATGGTCAAATGGGGTGATTTGAGGAGCATTTCATAGAGGGACTGTTCACAAGGGTTTGGATAAAGAGTATGGAAACCACTTGAAGTGGTGCAGTAGCAGGGCAAAGAGAGGAGTTAGTCACTAGCATATGAAGATAGAGAAGTTGTGTGGAGTGGGTCATCTGAAAAGAGTTATGACCTTGTGTGGAGAGATGACCCCATTAATGGTTTCTGCTCTATCTTATTTATCTCCCTTTCTCTGATCTCCCATTCATGCTACCTTTGGCCAGATCCAACTGGAAGTCAGAGGACAAGGGAGCCTATTGGTATAGTCCAAACAGTTTTGCCTCCCAGGGTACAGAACACAGCAGAGAGGGCCAGAGGATAGATTTGGGGTGACAAATGGAAGAAATCCAACCCAGCATGACAAAACTGAGAGTATTAAAAATAATACTTTAGCTAAAAATAATCTGACTCCCCAGTGTTTTCATTTCTGGCTAACTTTTTTATTATGAGCTGGAAATTAGGTTTTTGAGACATAAATCTGCCTAAATTTATATTATAAAGAGTATTGTGTATTTTTATTACACACCTATATAAATATTAATGATTTACATTGTTTTTCTTACTAGTGTCCTCAAATTGGTTGATATTTCATCATCATCACTCCTATTTTATCCACAGAGAATATGATCCATTATGGTTTTTTAATATATCCTCATTTTTATGTGACCACTGAACTGGCCTGTTGCAGATTTGCCCCAATTATTTCAGCCATCTTCACGTTTGATTCTCATCACTATGGGTCAAATGAACTGTGTGGCCATCTACACTGATTATGAAGGGGCTTGCAGTGATAGGATTAGCAGTGCCATAGCCTGGTCACTTGCACAGAAACATTCTTCTCAAGAATCAGTTTTTCAAAATCAGCAGAAGAGAAGAAGCTGACCCTTATTTTCCTTTTGAATTTTCAACTACACTGTCACCTGAATTTTTCAAAAGTAATATAGTAGGACAGGTGTCCTGAAATAAGTGCCCAGCATCTTTGGATGAGCAAGTGGATGATAATATCCAGATCTGAAGTTCACAGCAACAGTGGACTGACCATCCTAGTTATCCTCAGGGAGCCTCAAACTGCATGACGTAGTTTCTGAAAGAGGCAAAGCAAGACAAAGTGAGAGCAAGTTTTGAAACTGAAGAGTAGCAAAATTTTATGCAAAAATATATAATACCAAAATGAAACTTAGTAGTCCAGTTTTCTTTCTAGTTAGAGTTAATCATTAAAATTTCTAATAATGAGCTATCCTATATAATAAAATGCTAATATGCGAATTGACCAAATGATGGAATGACCGGCAGAACAACTGGTCGCTATGACACACACTGACCACCAGGGGCAGATGCTCAATGCAGGAGCTGCCCCTTCAGCTCCTGTGTTGAGCAACTACTCCCTCCCCCTCAAGAGGGAGGTGACCTGTGGTGGCGATTGGGGGGCAGGGCCAGTCAGCAGGCGGCACCAGGCTGCCAGCCAAGGTGGGTGCCAGTGGGTGGTGCCAGGCTGCCAGCCAAGGCATGTGCTAGTGGGAGACTTCCCCTTTACCCCCAATCACCATGACTGCCGGTCACCCCGCAGATCAGCCCTGATTGCTGGCCAAGCCTAGGAACCCTACCCTATATATTGGGAACAGTCTCTAGATTTAAAAATTAAAACCTGGCAAAGCTACTCTAACACTGAAAAAACAGGATGATGCAGCAATGACATGCATGGACTCTGGCTTGCACATTTTGTTGTCAGCCCTGATTCTGACACTTTTAACAGTGTGACAAAGCCAATTACTTAACTTTTCTCTGCTTCAGTTTTTCTACCCATAAGATGGGGAAAATGGCACTACTGCCTCAGAAGGATCATGTTATGTACTACTTTTTATAATCAGGGCAAAAAAATGTAGCTGCCCATACTACAGCAAGATGACTTTCACCCATATGAAAAGTATGGTGACTGGTGCATGCAGCATCCCAGATTGCGAGAGGGATGTCCAACTGCTTGTTTAGGCCCGATCCCCATGGAGATCGGGCCTCAAACGACAGTTGGACATGCCCTGAGGGGTCCTGGATTGCAAGAGGGCACAGGCCAGGATGAGGGACCCCCCCCCCATGCATGAATTTCGTGCACTGGGCCTCTAGTTATCATATATTGCATTAGCTATACCATTATCATCTTCACTCAAGGCTTTGAAGAATTTCAGTTTTAAGAAGGATCTGTGGTTTCTTAATTATATTAGTTTAAATTTTGTGAGGTTTTGTGTGTGTACGTATGTATGTGTGCACAGTTATAAATTTTTAAGATCTAGCAGGGCTTTGTTTTGGTTTATTTTCCCCAAACATTGTTTATAAAGCTAGAAACTTTCTTATTATGGAAGCCTACTGATATAAACTTATCTTTTTACTTATAACATTTATATTAATATTAATATACTTATGTATTACATATTTATAATTATAATAGTGAGGCCACATAATCATGTTTCCTGCTGATTTCAAGAAAAATATTTTAAAGCACACAATGTATAGTAAACCATCATAGGTTCTCATAATTTCACTTTTTTTCAGTTTCTGTTTAGACATGAAATTACCGGGCAGAATTGCTGCGTTTTGGAAGTGATTTTCCTGAAATTGGATGAGGTAAGTGAAATAGCGACTCCATTATTTGTTCCTAATTCTCTTAACATTGTTTTAATTCACAAAGTTACTGGAGTAAGCACATCCTACTCTAAACGATAAAAATATAGCCAAGGTAAATCCAGTGACTTTGTGGTATTAAGACTGGGGAGTTAACAAAAAAGATTGTAACCTATTTTCAGAAAAAAGTCAGTATAAAATCAGAGGTCAAAATGAATATAGCATAGGTATAAATGTTTGAGTAGAAATTGCAATTTCTTATGTTTTTTTTTATTATTATTAGTTAAGGTATTACAAATGTGTCCTCATCCCCCCCATTAACCCCCCAACCCCCCCCTCCCCCCACAAACTCATGCTCCCATCCCCCTGTTGTCCATGTCCATTGGTATGGCTTATATACATGTATACAAGTCCTTCGGTTGACCTCTTCCCCTTACCCCCGTCCTCCCCTACTTTCCTTCTGGGGATTGATAGCCTGATTGCTGTTTCTCAGTCTTTGGGTCTGTCCCTTTTCATCAGTCTATGTTGTTCTCTATAATCCACAAACGAGTGAGATCATGTGGTATTTATCTTTCTCTGACTGGCTTATTTCACTTAGCATAATGCTCTCCAGTTCCATCCATGCTGTTGCAAAAGGAAAGAGTTCCTTTTTTTTTACCGCAGCATAGTATTCCATTGTGTATATGTACCACAGTTTTCTAATCCACTCATCTGCTGATGGGCACTTAGGCTGTTTCCAAATCTTAGCTATGGTGAATTGTGCTGCTATGAACATAGGGGTGCATATATCCTTTCTGATTGGTGTTTCTGGTTTCTTGGGATATATTCCTAGTAGTGGGATCACTGGGTCAAATGGGAGTTCCATTTTTAGTCTTCTGAGGTAGCTCCATACTGTTCTCCACAGTGGCTGCACCAGTCTGCATTCCCACCAGCAGTGCAGAAGGGTTCCTTTTTCTCCACATCCTCTCCAACACTTGTTGTTTGTTGATTTGTTGATGATAGCCATTCTGACAGGTGTGAGATGATAACGCATTGTCGTTTTGATTTGCATCTCTCGTATAATTAGTGACTTTGAGCAGGTTTTCATATGTCTTTCGGCCTTCTGTATGTCCTCTTTCGAAAAGTGTCTATCTAGGTCCGTTGCCCATTTTTTTATTGGATTGTTTATCTTCCTTTTGTTAAGTTTCATGAGGTCCCTGTAAATGTTGGAAATTAAACCCTTATCGGTGGTATCATTGGCAAATATGTTCTCCCATGTAGTGGGTCTTCTTGTTGTTTTGTTGATGGTTTCCTTTGCTGTGCAAAAGCTTTTTATTTTGATGTAGTCCCATTTGTTTATTTTCTCTTTAGTTTCCATTGCCCTAGGAGCATTATCAGAGAAGAAATTTCTTCGGCATATGTTTGCGATTTCGCTGCCTGTGGATTCCTCTAGTATTTTTATGGTTTCCTGTCTTACGTTTAAGTCTTTTATCCATTTTGAGTTTATTTTTGTGTATGGTGTGAGTTGGTGATCTAGTTTCATCCTTTTGCATGTATCTGTCCAATTTTCCCAACACCATTTATTGAAAAGACTGTCTTGACTCCATTGTATGCTCTTGCCTCCTTTGTCGAATATTAATTGGGCATAGTCGTTTGGGTTGATTTCTGGGGTCTCTATTCTATTCCATTGATCTATACGTCTGTTCTTGTGCCAGTACCAAGCTGTTTTAAGAACAGTGGCTTTGTAATACAGTTTGATATCTGGTATTGAGATCCCACCTACTTTGTTCTTTCTCAGGATTGCTGCAGCTGTTCGGGGTCTTTTTTTATTCCAGATGAATTTTTGGAACGTTCGTTCTAGATCTGTGAAATAAATTTCTTATGTTTTTAGGGGTATTAAGGAAGTCTTGTTCTTTGGTTTACTTTACTGTTTGATTGTGATAGCATTGCAAATCGTGGTAATCATTAACCTTCTCAGACTTAGTATCTGAAAGCTTCATAAAAGTCAACCTAAATATTTACTTTGTTAAGACAATTTATGAAACTTTAGAAGGGTCTTCCTGTGTCAAGGGTATATTATTAATGTGAAAATAAAGCCCCACAAAGCTAAATAAATTCTCTTCCGTATCTTAAAAAAAAAAAGAAAGAAAGAAAAATATTTTAGTCTCAACTGGCAACTCTTTAAGAAACGTTTAGGAATGTTACAGCCTCTCCTGGCTGCTTTTTCATCACTTTCTTACTTTTACTTTTGCCCCACAGGAGCCCACTACTCATGCTTCTCAAGCTTTTCCATCGCAGTATTCCTCATGGCAGAGAAGGATGGAGGCTGCTTCCCAGGGCATGAGATAGCTTCTGAAGGTACAGCAAGGGAGAAATTTCTCTCATATTTTATTTGAAGAATTTGTTGGAACTTTGCAGTTGCTTTTTTATTGTATATTGTATATATATTTCTATTAGGCTTGGTATAGTGCTTTATAATAGCATGTTCAATATATGTTAATTGTTATTGATCATGGAATCCTGGGAGGAAAAGAAGCAATGAACTTCCAAGCTATTGTTCCACTTTCTTTCTGGTAAAAGGTTCTTGAGTCTGCAGTAGCATCAACAGCAATTTACATGATTATACTATGCGTGGATTTTTGTTTGGATTAAGGTCAATTAAATGTCCTTGAGTGAACACAGATTTTTCTCTTGCTATAAGTAGGAAATTAAAAGTAGCTTTGATCATATTTACTGCAGTGGATGATTAAGGCCATCCAGGGGCAGTATGAAATAGAGAAGGAGCTATCTACCCGGAGTCAGAGCTTTTCTCCTGATGTGTACCTTACGTAGTCAGTTTGTGTCTTTGCTACCTGTGAAACAAGAAAGGGGGTAGTACAGTATGGCATAGTGGTTTTTAAGGACTTAAAAAAACATGGTAAATTTTATTGAAATGTTATGTTGAGGGAAAGCGCACCACGCATTGACAGTGAAATGGAGCTACTGGGATTCCTTGAAACACTGAAAACCCCTGATGTAGAACAAAGAGCACTCTGGAGCCAGACTAATATTACTGCTTAGAAGCTCTGGGGCCTTTAGTAAGATATATCTCTGAGCCTCAATTTTCTTATCTATAAAATGGGAATAAGAATGATAATCGCCTCAGAGGATTGACATAAGCATTAAATGAGATAATACAGTCGAAGCTCTTAGCATAGAGCCTGGTATATATAAGTGCTTCCCCATGTGGTGTATACCTAAGAGCTACTTGCTCAAAACTCTACTTTCTTCTGAAGAAGCTGTAAGAAACAAAGCTTGGGAGTTGTCAGCAGTTAGCACAGATTTCCTTCAGTGAAATAGGCCATCTATGGAGAGGCAGATAAAAGAGCAAGTAAGTGGAGAGCAACAGGAGACACAAGACACCAAGGAGCCTGTTGGTGATTGAGTTCCTGTTTCTGATTGTTCCTGAGACCTAATTTGATTCTTATCCTCAGTTCATTGAGAAACCCCAAGATCTTATAATAAATTTCTCTTTTCCTTAGTGAGGATTCTGGATTATGCCATGATGTCGCAGTTAAACTAGAAATTATGCTTTCCAAAATCTCCTTCCATGCTCAGTTCTGGGTTAGAGTTGACCAAAGAGGAACTACCAAGAGAGTAAAGGGAAGCAAAGACCATTTTTCTTGGAAGGGCAATCTTGGTCAGATAGACACAGAAGTACTTGTGGTTCTTGCTCTCCTCCATACTATTCTGCTCTTCCTTCCAACTAAACTGCTGGCCCTGCTCACCCAGAGCAGATTCAATCCCTCCTCCCTTCTGCCTGGACACTTGGCTGCAGGCCCACAGAGGTGGTAAGCTACACAGAGGGAGCATCTTCCCACACATCTCTCTGTGAGCGCCTGCTTCACACTCCCACTGAAGCAGCTGGGTATAGTTGCCTCTCAGACTTCCCTGAAAGCTCCAACTTACCCACTCATGCCAGTGCGTTTAGGGGACCTAGTTAATGACTTTCTCATGTTCTCTGACCTTCGATTCCTTAGTTGGTCCCACATTGTGTGAGGTCTAATTCCTATAATAAACCTCTGATTCCCACAATGCTCTACCAGGGGTGGGCAAACTTTTTGACTCGAGGGCCACAATGGGTTCTTAAACTGGACCGGAGGGCCGGAACAAAAGCATGGATGGAGTGTTTGTGTGAACTAATATAAATTCAAAGTAAACATCATTACATAAAAGGGTACGGTCTTTTTTTTTTTAGTTTTATTCATTTCAAACGGGCCGGATCTGCCCCGCGGGCCGTTGTTTGCCCACGGCTGCTAGTCACTGGCTCTGCTTCTCTGATTGAAGCCTCACTGCTACAGCTAGTTTGTGTATCTCTCACTTGCATGCAAACCACATGATATTGATAATTTCTTCTGCATCTTTTGCATTTGTTAAATGAAGACACAAAGGGAACTATCAAGGCAACACTTTTTTAAAAAAGTATAATGTTTTTGGAACAGGAAAATGATAATTTTTTCACATCATTCTGTTTTAATAAAAAGAATGGGTTGATTATAACTTATGGACATTTCATAAAATTGTCTAATATGTTGTGAACCTCTTGAGCCAAATTGAGGAAAACATGTATGAACTTGGTAATAACACTTTGAGAAAGGTACATTAGGAAGACACCGGGGTCTGGAACGTGGTATTAGTGATTATGACCTCTCGTTCATCACCATGCATTCAACCAGAAAAGCAGAAACACTGGAACACACACACACACACACACACACACACACACACACACACACACACACAATTTGTTACAGAGATTTTACCTTATACAATTGTGGGAGCTGATTAAATAGTCTCCATAAGGCTGTTTGTTGTCTTTATGTTTGAGGCTGGAGCTCAAAATCTAATCTCCCTAAGCCTTTGGATATCTTTTTCTACAGTATACCAGGAAAATTCTTCAGACAAAGGGAGACCAACCTCTTTAAGCACAGTTAGAAGAGCTGTTTCTCTTGGCAAAGAAGGCTCAATAGACTTTAGGCGTTCTAGGTACCCAACTTCATTGGGATCTGGTCATAAAACTCCATTTCAATTTTTTTTAAAAATATATTTTATTGATTTTTTACAGAGAGAAAGGGAGAGAGATAGAGAGTTAGAAACATCGATGAGAGAGAAACATCGATCAGCTGCCTCCTGCACATCTCCTACTGGGGATGTGCCCGCAACCCAGGTACATGCCCTTGACCGGAATCGAACCTGGGACCTCTCAGTCCGCAGGCCGACGCTCTATCCACTGAGCAAAACCGGTTTCGGCTCCATTTCAATTTTTTAAGGTCCTAGTCATTTAGGGTATGCCAAGATATCCCTTCCCACATGAGGGCCAAATTATTGCACCTGACCTATACCCATTTTCTATTGCTGGGCAACATATTACCAGAAACTGTTTTACAACAACCCAAATTGATTTTCTCACAATTCTGATAGGTCAGATGGCCAGATTCTCTGCTCAGGTATTAACTGGGCGGAGATCAAGGTGCTGGCTAGGGCTGCAGTTGTCATCTGGGCTTAGCTATTTGCTGCTCCTCTCTTTTTGGAAGGCCTTTTAGAGACCCTCCGTTGCCAGTGGCCACATGCAGGAGGGTGTGCTGCTAGATCAAACTTTTAAAAGTTCCTAAAAGTAAATGCAAATGAACTGAGTGTGGGAAGCAGAGATGAGAGAAATAGAGTGGTCAAGGAAGGAATTTTAATGAAATGTCTTCTAAGATTATGAAGGCTATTGACATTTAATAAATAGCTAGTAAAATTAACTGTATCATTTTTTATAGCAAGTGATTGAAATCTAATTCTATTTTATTAAAGAAAAAAAGAATTTCTTGATGTGGTTGGAAAGTTCAAAGTTCAGCTAACTTCAGGTATGGCTGCATCCAGAGGATCAAATGATTTTGCTAGGACTCTGTTTTTCTCATCTTAGCCAGGCTCTTTTCCAGTCCTCCTCTTATTACTTGTAATACCCAATACAATGTAAATGCGGTGTAAATAGTCCTTATACTGTATTGTTTAGGGAATAATGACAAGGAAAACATCTGCACTTATTGAGTACAGATGCAGCTATCATAGGCCTAACTACATCAGCAACAACATGACTTTTTTTTTCAAATATTTTTTATTTGTGGTTGAATCCACATATGCAAAACCCACGGATATGAACTGACTGTACTATGAATCACCATTTTTCCATAAAGTCTTGCATAGAACACATACATTTTCTTTTAAGAATGAGAATGAACTTAATTAACTAAGTTCTTGTTAGCCAAATTTGATGGCTAGGGAAAATCATATGACATATTCATCTTTTCTTTCTCTTTTCTTCTTCTCTTTTTCTTTCTTTGTTTTTCATCTTTTGATAGTGCTTATTATACTCAAAGCCAAAGGGGAAAAATAAAACTATTTAGTTTACTTTATCAGTTATTTTTTAATTTTATTTTATTGTTTAAAGTATTACAAATAGTAGTACATATGTCTCCTCCCCCCCCCCCCATTGACCTTTCCCTGGCCTCCCCCCTCCCCCGCACATACCCTCACTTCACCCCCCCCCCCCCAGTGTCTTGCGTTCATTGGTTATGCTTATATGCATGCATGCATAAAAGTCCTTTGGTTGATCTCTTACCTCCCCCATCACCCCTCCCCATCCTTCCCGCTGTAATTTCCAAATCATCGGAAAGTTATAAAAAAGGGATTATTGTGAAAATATATGAATGTTAAAAATTATGTCAGTTTATGTCAATGACTCATCAGAAATTTTACAAAATTTATTCTTAAAAGGTAAATTATATTTAAAAACTATGAAAAGCTCTCTTTATAATTATAATTTAAGAGAGCCCCATCCACTGTTCTTTTTCCTGATAGTTTATTTTCCAAAAGCCTAAATACAAGGCATTCTTTTACTTTGGTTGTAATGTTGGCCATTTACAGGCATAAACAGAATATAACAGTAAATTCCACCAGGTTGCGCTGTAGTTCCACAATGAAAGCAAAAGTGCCAGTATCTGCAGAGAATTCTCTGAGGTCTCAGTTAACTGTATTTATTATTTCTGTTCTTGAAGCAAAGAGGAGGTGGAGATAAACATTTAAAAGGAAAAAGAAGATATTTTTCTGAAAATAAAGACTTCCAAATTGACTATGATTTAAAATTGTTATTCAGAAAATAATGATTTTTTCTGAGAACATTTAGTTCCTTTTAGAAAGATTGCATTTAACTCAGTCTTCTTAGATAAAACTACTTTCCTGATGGCAACAAACAAAAAAACCAAGAAAACAAAAAATAAAAAACTCTATTGGAAGTTTTTTCTTATATTCCCTAGTTATTGATGGATATAACTATTTTTTAAAAGATAAGGTATATTTTATTTAAAACTATAGCAGGATCTTTGGTATAAATCAGGCTTTAGAAAATACAAGAACATTTCAACTTGAAAACAACTTTTTCTTTTTGTGAATAAAGCCCTTTTTCTTTTCTGCCCTTGTTTTCCCCAAATGTCAATATTTATGAGCCAGGGGTTGTGGGAAACGTTACCTAGAGTTACAAGGGGCCAGAGTCTGCCCTCTTATGTCCCTGGGGAGCCCAGTGTGAGTGCCAGAGGGCAGTATTTGGCTGGAAGGACCCAATCCCTCTTTCTTTGCACCCTGTGGTATGCCCTCTGAAGTGAAAGAAAATTCTCTGCTCTATAAGATGTCAACATACACACATTTCTGTATATCCTTTTGTCATAAAAACTGATGTGGATTTACAGAAAACAAAACAAAACAAAACAAAAAAGTCAGAATTATGCCAGTAAGTTTGAGACTCTTGAGACAACATATTCTCAAGTCTAAATTTCAAGATAACACCATTTTTTTTTTGTCCATATCACTGTCAAAACATTAGTTACTTTAGGTTTAACCTGTTTTGGGATTTATTAGTTCTTTTAATGGTAAAGATAGAGACAATGAGAATGAAACCCTCACAGAAATAAGGTATGAATCTCACAAAACAGTAGTAAATTATGGAGCTCATATTTATTTTGAAAATGAATTGTTATCTATCAAGATGATAAAAAATTCATTATTTAATTCAGATGGCTTATTTTAATTTGTTTCCTCTGAAACTGTCAGTCATTAGGAGCTGAAAAAGAAAACAAAAGCTGAAAATGATCAAGTTTTACTAGGCAGAATAAACTGGGAGATGAGCTTGAAATTCGGGGTCATTAACAAATGAAAACACACACACACACACACACACACACACACACACACACACCAGAAGTACTCTTAAAAACAAAAGTCACCAGTAAAATATGTCTTGAGGTCAAATGAAATGCCCTGACATTTATTCACAGTTTCCTCTTGCATTTTATTTGAAGGATCTCCTCTTTATTTTTTTTACTAGTTTAAATCTTTAATTTATTACTCCGTTCCCCATGGTTAAGGTTCCTAGTGTCTTTAAGGTTCACGATTTAAAGATTTTTGTTGTTTACCTCAGCAATTCTTTATTTATCTTGTATTATTTTTAAATGTCCTACTCAGACACTTAACTGATTCAAGCACTTAAATGGTTTTTAAAAATTCATAAAACATTTTATTTGCCCAGATCAGGAGGTAACTGCACTCTTTCATTTTGGGTAAAAGTATAACAAAATAATTAGTGAGATTAATGAAAGAAATAATTAAGGAGTATGATAACATTAGTTCTTTT